ACAAATTCTAGCTACTGTGATTCTTTGCGATCTTGCTACAGCACGAAATAGTGCAAAAACGCATGATCGCACCGCTCACCTGGTGCATACCAACCTGAGTTTTTGTCATGAAAATTATCGTTGCGACTTAAAAAAGGGCATTATGCCTGCGCTTTCTTTCAGGCTCTCATTTTTCTGAACTTATCGCTTGTCCGCAATTTGAAGCAATCCAGCTTTTGATCCTTGCACCTTTTTGATTCAATTTTTTGCATTCTTTCCACCATCCATAGAGACGGTTTTGCTGTTGCCTGGACGCAGAATTGGGGTGACTTGTCTTAAGTGGAAAGCAAGAGTAATTTGACGTGGCATCATTGTTTTTCCACTTTTTTTTTTGTCTCAGCCTTTAATGATTTGCAATTTGTAGCCTATTTCTCCGTCTATATGTTTGGGAACTTTTCCAATTGTTTTGACTAGTGTTGCTTCGTCTTCTGAATGGTTGTTTCGAAAGAAACACTTAGCGAGGCCTTAGCAGTTTCGAAATTTCGCTTGTGTGAATTGACCACATCTCGAGCATTACCCTCCTAGATCACGATGAGATGCTCTAGCAGCTGTTAGAATTGTTTTTTCTATTTTTTCGCGTAGGTCCTTTTTTTAAACGAAGTGTCAATTTAAGGTGCTGCCTGAATTGCGCCTTCTGGAAGTGCTCGATCTTGGCTGGTGCGATTGCAGCGAACGTGGGATACTCAAAATTGTTGCGAGTCTAAATTCGTCTCAGCATTTACACTTAAAGGTACTGCTTTTCATGTCTGCTTACTTCCAGTACTGGACGAGGGTGGCACAAGGAGCGTGGCATTTTATGCAATCAAAAAAGCAGCCATTGGGTTGGATGAGGTCGTCTTTTTAGGAAAAAACTGCCTCGTCCAACCCAATGCTTGTTTAGACTGTGTAGGGCCTCCTGCGGGCAGCCGGCCAGTACGCTCCAAAGGGAATCGAATGAACTTTGTTGGGGAAAAGGAGGGCGGGGCGGCAAGCTATCCCCTTAGTCCTTTGGAAATATATTTGACAATATTAGATAACACACAAAACGGTTAAAAAAAAAAATTGGTCGGTTGGTGGACAAGTTCCGTTGGCTGAGATAATAATACACTGGCAACCAGTGCTTCCTAATGGCGCTGATTATGAATTTCTACCGTTTTATCCCGATCATACCAAGTAGTTTTTGCAGAAGCTGAATTTTTCATCGAACGGCTTAGGAGCCAACGCTGTAACATCTGTTACGCTTCATTTTGCCAGTGGATTTCATCTGGAAAAGCTTTCATTTCACGCAAACAATCTTGGATCTCGTTACCTAGATTTAAAGGACACGCTTTCTGAGTTTGGATTCGTGGATCTGGGAAATCGCAGGTAATATTTTGTGATAAATGTACCTTTTTTAGCGTCGGTGTAGTTGCCCAATGAATTGTAACTTGATTCGAGTCAAAATATTTCCTCTACATATTGCGGATCGGCTGTTACTGTAAGATGTAAAGTTCAAAAACGATCACAAAAATATCAGGAGCTATGCAAAATGTGTGACCAAAAGCTTGGTCCTATTTGATGAATATCATATCGCAGCACTCCCTATCCGAAACGTTGGTGACATACTTAGAATAAAGTCGATAATAAAGTTAATTGTAAAAATGTAAGACTGCAAGAAATAGAAGGATGTAAAAAATTATAGCAGAAAGAGTGTAAGAAATTATAAAATGTAAGAAATAGTATCGCACACCAGAATAACCGGTGTGATCATGCGTTTTGTGCAGTTCCGTCCACCGAACGATTGCCTGTTAATGATTTTCACTGCTTTGTACTTTAGTCTGTGCAAAAGTAGTTGGAACGCTGAAAAATAGTTAAAAATATCATGCACAAGCGCATGAAAGCTAAATTTGAAACCTTAAAGGGTGAATACCCTTCCAAAACTTCAATTTCCTAATTTTCTGACTTTCGAATGATCTTTTAAACAAACTTTCACGTGGTCGTACTTAAGATCTCAGTATACTTAGGAACTGAATTCGAGCTTGTGAAGCCCTTGCTTAGGCAAGAAATGTTCTCCTGAACTTTTCAGCCTCCTTACTCTTCTGGCCTTCGAAATAATGATTTTTCTCGCCAGCATTTCAACTGGGACGTTGAAAACTTGCGAAATTGCAAGTGAGCAGGAGGTGCCACACTAAAATTTCAGCTTTCTAGCTTTTGCAGTTCCCGAGACAATTCTCCTGCCAAAACTTTC